TATATCTCTCCCTCTTGCGAAGTTGATTTTCGCAATTACGCATGCGCGGCTTGCGTGCGCACCTTTTTATTTATGTAGCGGGAAACGACGCGCTTGCGCATTTTAAAAAATCAACTGAGTGAGAGAGAGGAGTATAGATTCTTTTTCTCACTTCCATTGGACACTATTCGGTTCCCCATTCCCCTTCCATGTATCGTAAGTTCTATGCATTGACCAGTCTCTTATTATAGTGTCTCTAAAACGAGACATAAGACTAGGGATCTTGCTTATTTCGCGCATGCGCACTCTATTTTGGCCAACACTGACATCAAAGGTGCCGACAGAGAGTTGCGCTGTATATACTGTGCTTTTAATTTGAAATTGAAAAGTCTGTTTTATCGACCTTGTGCAAGTTCAGCCATCATGCCAGCATTCACTTAAATGTCGCAATATCTAGTGCCTCACATATGATTAGCAGACTGTGATATTGGCAATTACTAATATTTCATTGAACAGTATTAATTTTTACTAACTCTGTTCCGTTTCTTTATTTACATCGAAAATATGAGAATTTCTTGCTCAAGCCTTTCACTTTCTACTATTAAATGTTTTTTTTTTTTTTTTTTGGAGAAGGAATTCTTATTCACAATGAAATACTAAAAAAAGACAATATTATAGGTAGGTATTAAAGAGGCTGAGTCATCATCCGCCTCTGTCACCAAATCAAACTATAGCGAAATTTGATTTTATAAAAATATTGTTTTAAAATTTATATTTTTTTTAATATTTAAAAATAATATTTTATTAAATACTTGAAAACTTAATATTAAATGTCCATTTGTGACAAATTAAACTCATAAAAAGAATTAGTAAATAAAAAAATAAAGCATTACAATAAGTATAAACATAAAACGAACAAACATAAAGTGCATTAAGAAATAACTTTTTTAAATATTACTTTTTTATATTTATTATATTAGAGTAGAAGTATTTTGCGCGCGTTCTATTTCAAGTAAATACATAATTACGTATCATTGAATTTAACTTAAAATTTTCTTTGAAGTATATGTATTAAAAGGTTTTATTATATATATAGCTCTATTCCAAAAGACGCCGATTTAAAAAATTCAATAATTTTTAGGAAAGCTATCTTTACCGTATTTTCGTCTATAAACTGAGTTATTTTAATTATTGTCATATTTTTTTATTTATGATAGTAATAGAGGTATTTTGACACTTTCTTCATACGCCTCAGCTTGTATATATTTTGAGGTTGATCGATTGTATATATCTTAAGTTTTTTAATCTAATGCTTATTTAATTACAACATAACTAATATCGATTTTTCTCTGACCCTTTCCTTGTCTCGTTATTTATTTTTTTATTTTTTGTTGTTTATAATTTGACATTAAATTTTTAATTGCTTCACAAATTGAACTTATTGACATTGAATTTTATTTAATGTGACAACAACAAATTCTAAATATTGTGAAATGTGTGTTATGTGTTTGCTTTTATGCGATGCATTTGCGTATACTATATATGCATATTTTGATTTATATAAAAATTGCCATCAAAATTATTATCGATTTTTACTTATTTTCTTGCATGCTATTCTTATTAAACTTTTATATATTGCGTAAAGTGGTTATGCTCAAGTCTGCAATCTCTCTCATCTACGGTATCTAGTATAGAATCCCTTGGTGCTCCATCAACCTTAAAACTTCCTTTGTGGGATAAGGCATCGGCAGAATTCTGTTTTGCGAAATCGCGAGAGCTATTGACAAAGCCAAGTGCCTGGGCTTCGTACATGGATATTGACTTGAATACGCATATATTAGATAATGCGGCAACGAAGCAGAATTTAGTCAAATCAACTGAATTCTTAGAAAATGGAAATAGAAGAGATCACTTGAATTGCGAGAGCATCTCTGATGTGGACACCAAATTAAACGTTCAGCATCAGAATGGTAAGAAATTTAATATAGAAAATTCAAACTACGATTTCCCACGCGAGATGAAGAGAGTTTCTACCAGTTACATTGAACGTTATTTTGAACAACCAAAATATTGCGATGATGAAACTATTTTGGGATCCACCAGCGATAAGATATATTGTGGAGAAGAAAAATTGGACAAGTTTGATAAAATTAATAATCTGGAGCAGCCTAACAAATCGACTTATTATTCGAACATTCAAGAACAGAGCTCATCGGTTGGCGTTAAATCTACTCAAACATTACAAAATAAAGTAAGCAATTGTGAACTAAAGGACTGTAATATTATGCATTTCGAAGCGCAGTCTGATGAGAATTTTGATATTTTGAAAGATAAAACAGTAAACTTTGAATCCTCTCGTAATAAATCCGATAAGTTTGATGTGGCGAAGGACAAGACGACGAATTTGGATCTTGGCACGCGACCAAAATTTCCTATTGCCTCCACTGAATCTACAAAAGTGAACCTAACAAATTTTACCAAGAAAATTGATCTGTCGAAATCTAGAAATGCGAAAATGTCTTTTGTGCCTAGGAAATCCAGTCAAGACATGAACACTGTTTATGGCTCATCGGATAGTATTAAGACTAACATGAAGACGAGTGGAACGAATAGTCCAAGGAGTAATCTAGAAACGGTAAAAATAAATATACAAAGCTTTCGCAAGATCGAACAAAACCAGAACGGTCACGAGGGTTTTCCGTTTGTAATATCTAACAATCCTATATTTATCGCCGAAGCAGAGAAGAAAGAATCTCCCATATATAGCAGCTCCGAGAGTTTGCGAGTAAATTTTCAGCGTCTCAGGCGGAAATCTGATGCTGAAGCTAGTCAAGTAGAACTTAATAGCAAGCTTTTAGCTGAAAAATATCAACGTGAAATTTCCGGCTTGGAAAGTGTAAAAAATTATTTGGATTCCAAGAAAGCTCAAGGTTTAAACTTGGGCTTGGGCAAGTTGACACAGAACATGATACAATTGGGTAAGAATATCGCGCAGAACTCGAGAAACTTAGAAACAGCTTTGCCAAAGTCATTAGTCTCCAACATAAGGAATCTTGATTTATCTGCGTCATCTCAAACACCTTTACGAAGCTTAAACATACCGATTAAAAAACCCAAGCATTTGGACTTGAACATTCCATTGCAAAATCAATCACCAATTAATGCAAAGCTAAACTTGATTCAGAAATCAAACCCAACCTCAACGAGTCCAACTTTACATCAACACATTTTGGAGCCACCAAAATTATATCAGAACGATCCCGCTAGAAAGGAGCTACCAAAATTGGATATGCTGGCGGAAAAGTTTTCTGGTGCTGCCATTTATCGACATAGGACATCATCCTTGTCGGAAAGTAGGAAACCTCCAATAAAAAATATACGCAGATCTTTTCATACTAGAAACGATTCCAGCGAGGATTCGGACTCGATTTCGCACTCAGAGACGGACATTAGGAGCCGTCTGCGTTATAAACGTAGGCACAAGAAAGTTCCGCACAATCTACGCTTAAATTTCAAAAATAAGACATCATTTTTGCATCCTAATTCCGCTAAAAGATTGTCTGCGGTTGAGCTTTGTGGAAAATCACCGCCGCCGTCGACGAGCTTCTTGAACTCATTATCGCCGCCATTCTCTTCCAGAAACAATTTGTTATCTTGGCCAGAAAGTGCACCGAGCTCTAGCTTGACATTTACTAGTAATTCCGATTTCGATTCAGACACAAGTTCCGAGTATCCTGAATTCACGAACGACGTGTTGACATTTCCTCCCTCCCCTGCTCCTTAAAGTTCTAAAGACAAGGGAAATTGGATAAATGGGCTGATTTTGGATCTCGGAGCGAGAAATAAAAACTATGTTTTTTTGTATTTTTTGTGCAGCTGAACCGATCCTATAAAATTTGTTTTTTTTTACTACAGTCTTACATTTTCATTAACATATCATTTTCATAATAGCTTCTTATATGATTAACAGATTTGTATACTGTTTTTCATATTTTCCCAACAAATTAAAAATTTTGAAAGATTAGCTTTTTATTAGATTTAGAACCAGATTTAGCAGCTGAAAAACTATAATAAAAAAATCTACCGTTTTTATTTACCACTCTTTGGGGCTAAAATCTACATTTTACCTCCTTTATTCTTCTTTAGTTTCAACGTTGATTAATCTAACTTTCAATCAATGTAGCTTTTCTATATATTTAACACTTTCGCAAAATGATTAGTAAGATCACATGTTACATTACAAATATGTTTATAGATTTAATATACTTACAATTAGGCCAATGATTAAATAATTAGATTAATTTTACTTAAAAAAAATTAAAATTTGCAATGATTATGATAAAAATAATTTTATTTTATTTAAATTATGTTATTCCTCTTTAGCATCGGTGTAAAGAATGATACTGTCGTATTTTAAACGGGAATTATTTACATTTTGTAGTTAATTTTTGTCATTCTAAAGTTATCGAATATTTCTTCTATTTTAAAGGTTTCTTCCATATTCGCTGTTATTTTAATGACATATGCGCAGAATGAAAATATTACTGCACACTTTATCTTTTCACTTCACTTTCGGACTCTAAGTAAACATTGGTTTCATAGTCAATGTGACTATAAATATGGACAGTACAAAAATAGTACAAGAGGAAAATTTTAATTTAAAGAAAAATAAATAAATTATGATATGAGGAAAATTTTTACAATGGAGGAAATTGACTATTTCGATATAATTTATAGAGAAGTTATTGTAATTTAAGTCTCTAATATCTTTTGAAAGCAATTTCAGTTTTGAGTATAAACGAAAGAAATTAAATAACAGATACGATTAAAAATGTTATTAGAAGAAAAGCTCTCAAGATTTATTAGAGATCTATAACCAATTATGGTAAACTTCTCCAAACAATATTAAAATAAATCTTTATAAATTATTAGTTTTCTCTTTATTGATGCTACTCATACTGATGCTAAATAGATGCTAAATAGAATAGTTTTAATAAATAAAATAATTTTTATCACATATGTACGTGTGCAAAACATAATCATTGTTTTTTTTTAAATAAAGTCAATCTTATGTGTTGTATAATATAATCGCCACGTGGAATATATACAACATTAAATTTCTGAATAATATTGAAGGTAATTAAGAAGAGATTATTAATAATTCTAGCCTTACTGTTTATTTTTTAAATACAATTTTATTCTAGTAAAAGAAAAGAAATAATGGTATAAGGATATAAAAACATAAAATTAAAAATAATCATTTTATTATGATAAATAATTTTATTATCACAAAGAATTAACACAAATATGAATCATTAAATTTTATATCTAGGTTATTTAGATATCTAGGTAAGAATCAGCAAAACTACTGCATATTTTAATTCTGAATTTTATTTAGATGGCAATTTTTGATGTATATATTTTGTGTGTGTGTGTGTGTGTGTGTATGTGTGTGTGCGTGTGTGTGTGTGTGTGTGTGTGTGTACGTGCGCGTGTGGGTGCGCGCGCATGCGCACGCGCATAAATAATTAAAAATGAAGTACGAAGCAACAATTTATATATATGCTTATATAGAGCAAGTTTGCATATTATACTAATCATTATATTAAATAATATTAACATATAATACGGAACAATTTGGATGTATTTACATGTTTTTAATAATTGTACGAAATTCCGCGACATATGTTAGTCGGTTTATTACTACCAATTTTTACAAAAGCGTGATTTATACATAATATATATTTGCACCCATATATTTTTAAATAATTGCGGTATTTTGTAATAGAAATCAGAAGTTCTCAAACTGAGCTACGCATATCATCATCAATAAATACATTAAGAGGATGCTTAAGCCGTCTGTTTTATCGACAAAAATACCATATTTGTTGGTTACTAATTACTTCGTATTAATCGCATAGAATAAAATTTCCTTTTCCACGATTAAAACACACATGCTAATAGCTCTGGTGCATTTTGTACCAAAAACGGGAAAAAATGAAATAATTACAGATTTCGTTATCCATTTTAACCTCAACATGGCGACTAATGCTATCAATTTACCAAAACGTTTACTTCGTGGAAAAGTTAGACAGGTTATATGCTCGAAATGAAGGCAGAGTCAGATGTACAATAAAGAAATGAGTATATGTGAGTCGTTAAATTAAACT